TTTTTAAATTACTGGCAGGATAATTAAGCTTTTTGCTAACAACAGAGTATGAGGGTGTCTGCTTAGCTTCAGCTTCGTGTACAGTAAGTTGTCAAACTTTGGTTTTTATCAGTTTGGGGGAAAGCAGTAATGCTACTTTTAATTACATTTCTTATGAATGAGATTTTGTATCAATTTTTCTGTTAAAGGTTCATATGCATATGCATATTTGCCCTTAAAATAGAAGGATTTTTGGTCATCTCATATTCTGCAAACCTTTTACATGTTGGAAGATAATTAGTTCCTTGTGGTGTAAACTGAAAATACTTATTCTAGAGACAAGATCTCATGTAGCCCAGGCTGGCCTCAAGCTTGATACTTTGGTGAGGCTGGCCTCTCAAAATGCTGAGATTACAGATGTATGCACCATGCCTGGCTATTTTCCGTTTCTTTTTCTTTTTTGAGACAGGGTCTCCCTGTAGCCCCAGCTAGCCTGGAACTTGCTATGTAGACCAGGCTGGCCTCCATCTCAGAGATAATGCATACCTCTGCTCTAAGTACTGGGACTCAAAGCGTGCACCACCACATCCGACTCTTTCTTGGATTTTTAAAAATATTTTATTATTTTTATTTTATGTGTATGTGTGTATTGCCTGCATGTAGGTAAGTGTACTCATGTCGTGAAATGCTTGCAGAAGACAGAAGAGACTGTCAGATCCCCTGGAACTGGAGTTAAGGACAGTTAGTTGCCATGTGGGTGCTGGGATTCGAACCTGGGTGTTCTGCAAGAACAGTGTTCTTAACTGCTGCGCTATCTCTCCAGCCCATTTCTTGGATTTTAAAAAATATTTTTCTTTTTTAGTATGTGTATGTGTGTGGGGCATGATTTGTTCAGGTGCCCTCAGGTGAGAGGCAGTGGATCCCCCTGGAGTTGGATTTGCAGGTGGTTTTGAGCCACTTATTCTTGGTGCTGGGAATCAAACTCATGGTCTCTGGAAGAGCAGTACATGTTCTTAACTACTGAATCATCTGTCCAGCCCTCTGTTTTTGTTTTTATTTCTATTTATTTATTTATTTATTTATTTATTTATTTATTTATTTATTATTTATTTTTTGGTCTTTTTGAGACATGGTCTCCTTGTAATCATAGGCTGGCCTGGAACTCACTATGTAGACCAGGCTGGCCTGATTTCACAGAGATCCACCTGCCTCTGCCTCTTGGTAAAGTGCTGGGATTAAAGGCGTGTGCCACCATACCCTGCCCTTTCTTTTTTTTTTTTTTTGTTTTTTTTTGATACAGGATATCTCATGTTGTCCAGGCTTGCCTCAGACTTGGTTTGTTGCTGAGGCTGTCCTTGGCCTCTGACCCTCTTGCCTCTACCTTATGGGATTACATGTTTGTGCCATCATGCCCTGCTTTGTTTCTGTATTTTGGGTCATATCTAGAACTTTCCCATTCCAGATTATAAAGGACTTTATGGACATCTTATACCACTGTGATTTTTTTTTTTTCACATTTAAGTCTTAGAACTCTGAATTTTTCATGGTATATGGTATAAATAATAGAGTTTTATCATTCATTTTCTTTTTTTGGTCTTTTTCAGACAGTCTCCCTGTATCCCCAACTGTCCTGGAACTCACTATGTAGACCAGGCTGGCCTCAAACTCACAGAGATCTGCCTGCCTCTACCTCCTGAGTGCTGGGATTAAAGGCATGTGCCATTATTCCTTTCTCTTGAATGTTACCATTTTCTATGTCCAGTTTTCCTAACACCACTTACTAAAAAGTTAATTTTTTCTTGATTTTAGATTATATCTTTATTCTGCATTAAATTTCAGTATGCGCTGGGCATGGAATGCACCAAGCCTGGTGGTGCACACTTTTAATCCCAGCGCTCAGTTGGCAGAGGCATGGGGAGCTCTGTGAGTTTGCAGCTAGCCTGGTCTACATAGTGAGTTCCAGGCCAACAGGAGCTACAAGGAGACCCTGTTTCAAAAAGACCAAAAAAATTAAAAAAATAAAATAAAATAATAAATTGCAATATGCAGTTGGTTGTATTTATGGGGTTTCCATTTTGTGCCAATGATTTATCTCTCTTTTGGAGGGTGTTTCTCTTTGAGACAGAGTCTCTCTGTAGTCCCAGCTGGCCTGAACTCCCTAAGTAGACCAAGGTGGCCTTGAACTCAGAGATCTGCCTCCCTCTACCTCCTGAGTACTGGGATTAAAGGTGTTCACCACCATGCCTGGCTGATTTCTTTCTTTCTTTCTTTTTTTTTTTTTTAAGGATTTTATTTATTTATTTATTTATTTATTTATTTATTTATTTATTTATTTTGTGCCTGCCTGTTTTACCTGCATTATATGTAAATGCACCATGTGTGTACAGTGCCCATGGAGGCCAGAAGAGGGTGTTGGATTCCCTTGGAGTTACAGTTGTAAATAGCCATGTGGGTGCTGGGAACTGAACCCAGGTCCTCTGCAAGAGCAGCAAGTGTTCTTAACTGCTGAACCATTTTTTCAGCTTCTCCCTCTTCGTTTTGCTGTGACTGGCCTGGAACTTTCCTGTATGGACTGGGCTGGCATCAGACTCACAGGGATCCACCTGCCTGTGCCTCTTAGTACTGGAATTAAAGGCATGCACCACTAGGTGCATTTATATGTGCACAAATAGTGTATTTGTGGACCAGTGCCACACTATTTTATAATCTTATTACATTATAATATCTAAGAGGGCTAAGTTTCACCTCATTGGCTTTTTTTCTCCTTTTGTTTTCTTAAGTATACTTCATAATGAACTCGTTTAGCATATCATCTTGTATTTTTCCAAGTAGATGATAAAGTATTTTACTTGTTTTACTTTTTGAGACACGGTATTGCTATATAGCCTAGGCTGACCTTGAACTCAAAATCCTCTTGTCTCAGCCTCATGAAAAGTCAAATTGCTTAGGTTTGAATTCCAACCTGACTACTTGTTAACTGTGTGACATTTTGTACAAGAGCTTTACCCCCCCCCCCATGTGTGTGTCAGAGATATCAGTTGTCTTTCTCTGTTGTTCTTGTTCTTGTTACATTCGTTGCTATGATGAAACATTGACTCAAAGCAACTTAGGGGAGGAATGTGTTTATTTCAGCCTATGTAAATTACAGTCTTTCACTGAAGGAAGTCAGAGTAGGAACTCAAGAACCTGAAGCTGAAGCCTTGGAGAAATGCTACTTGCTGGTTAACTCACCCATAGACTCAGGCTTAGCTAGCTTTCTTAAACAGCCCTGGACCATCTGCCCAGGGAATGGTGCCACCCACAGTAAGCTGGAACTTTCAGTTAACAGTCAAGACAGTCCACCACAGACATGTCCATAGGCCAGTTGATCTGGGAAGTTCTTCAATTGAGACTCCCTTCTCGGGTGACTCTCTATGTCAAGTTGATGGGCTAAAGCTAACTAGGGTAGCTCTCTACCTTATTATTTTTAAATTTCTTATTTTGTACTAATGAAGGTTTTGCCTGTATGCACGTAAGCACACCAGTGTTGTGCAGTGTAAGGAGGCCAGAAGATGGCATTGGGTCCTCTGGAATTGGAGTCACAGCTGGTTGTTAGCCACCATGTAGGTGCTGGGAACTGAGCACAAATGCTTTCCAAGAACAGCCAGTGCTGTAAACCATTGCCATCTCTCTAGCCCCTCTACCTTATTTTTTGAGATAGGATCTCTCACTGAACCTGGAGATTGTCATTTTGGTTAGAATAGCAGGTTATCAAGCCACCATGATCTGCCTGTTCCTCTTCAGCTTTGGGTTTATAGACATATACTACCATGCCCAGCTTTTATTTGGATGTTGAGGATCTGACCTTGGGTTCTCATGCCTGTACAGCAAGAGCTTTAATGACCAAACAGTTCCTCCAACCCCCTTATTTGAGATAAGGTCTCACTGTATGCATAGGCTGACCTGGACCTCACATATAGCTCAGGCTGGCCTCGAACTTAATGGTAATCCTCCTACTCCTACCTTTTGAGTACTGGGATTATAGGCATGAACCACTCAGCTTCTATTCTCATTTTTTACTTTATTTTAAATATTTTGGCAGTGCTGAGGATCAACCTAGAGCTGCTGAGTAAGTACTCCCCTATACCTATTCTTTTTTTTCCTTTCCCTTCCCCGCCCCCTTTCTGCTCCCCCCCTTTCTCTTTTTTGGCTTTTTCAGAAAGGGCCTCACTATGTGGCCCAGACTGACCTGAAACTTGTGATCCTTCTGCCTTACATTCTCATTTTTAATTTATTTTTGGTTTTTTTGACACAAGGTCTCTCTGTAACCCCAGCTGACTTGTAACTTGCTTTGTAGACCAGGCTGGCCTTCATCCCACAGAGATTCGCCTGCCTCTGCCTCCCAAGGGCTGGTGTTAAAGGTGTACACCACCACACCTGACTGTTTTCATTTTTTTAAATGGAGCTATGATGATAATTCTACATCTCATAGTGCCTTTCTTTGGATTTAATGAATAGAATAAGTAAATAGGAGCCTGGCATATAATAAACACTTTCTTTTGATTTTGTTGTTGATGGTTTAATATTTGCTATATTAGCTTTGTCATCACTGTGACCAAGACCCAAGAAAACAGCGTCGTGGAGGAAAGATATATTTAGGCTCATGGATTTAGGGTGTTTGTGCCATGGTTGCTTGGCCCCATGCACTAAGCAGGACATGAGGGTGGGAGGAGCAGGTGGCAGAAGAGCTGCTTTACCTCAGGGCACGCAGGAAGCAGAGACAGTAAGGAGCCAGGACAAGATAACTTTTTCCTGTCCCTACTGACCTGCATATTCCAGCTAAATTCTGTCTCCTAAGGTTTCCAAAACTTCCCCAAATCCTGCCATGGTCTAGGGGACAAGTCTTCAACATGTGAGACTTTGGGGGGTTGTTTCCTATTCAAACCATAACAATGACAAGAAGAAAAAAAATGATGGAAGAATTACTAGTGTAGATTGATTGTTTTGTAAAATTTAAAATGATTCCTTTTTTTTTCCTTTAGGTGTGAAATGTTTCTCTTATTCTACAAGTGTTATCAGCCTTGCATTTTTACCATACTTATTTTCACAAAGTAATATTACGTTTGGAAGTCTGCCTTTGCAAATCTTATTTTATGGGATTGTAGGATGCTTCACAGTGATCACCCCTGTGCTGCTTCACTTCGTTACGAAGGGTTATGTTATTCGGTTGTACCATGAGGCCACAACTGACACTTACAAAGCCATTACTTACAATGTCATGCTTTCGGAAACCAGCACAGTGTTTCACCAGAATGACGTGAAGATTCCAGACAGCACACATCTATTTACCACCTTTTATGCTAATACAAAATCACTGTTAGTCAATCCAGTGCTCTTTCCAGACCCTGAAGACTTTAACCATCTAATGGGTTATGACAAACCATTCACTTTTGATGTAGAAGAAACCATTGAAAAGAAACAGCATGAGGTTGAGAAATGAGCCTGTTCTTTGCACTTAAATGTGACGTATATTTCAGTGTACAATAAGATGGCTTTATTTTGTTATTGTTAGTGAAAGATAATTAAAAATGATTTAAGGCTTGGGGATGTAGCCACGTTGGTAGAGTACTTGTCATGCATGAAGTCTTGGGCTTGATCCTCATCACCATGTGAACTGGTATGGTTGTGCATACCTACAATCCCGCGTTTGGGAAGTGAAGGCAGGAAGATCAGAAGTTTGAGATCATCCTTGGCTACATAGTAAATTTGAAGTCAGCCTGGACTACATGAGACTGTTATCTCAGAAACAAGCAAAAAGTTTAAACTATCAAGCACAGCTTCTAATTAACTTTCAGATAATGATGTTCCTGTGCAATAAAATATGTTTAAGAACAAATGTGTTTCTGTTTAAAAGGTGAATATTCATGGGTATTCTAGTATATGTATGGGCAATGCAAGTGTGGTTGCCTCTGAACTGAGGACTGGATGTTAGAAACAGTAAGACAAGTTTTTCCTTGTGTTTGGATTTTTCTAAGTGTATGAATATTCTTACCCTGTTTAAAAATACTGGAGAAATGACTTAGTATTGGTCAAGAGCACTGTATTAGTCACTTTTCTGTTGCTGTGATAGAAACACAGACCAAAACAACTTATAGAAGTTATGGTTCCAGAGGAATTACAGTCCGTTGTGGTGTGGAGGCATGGTGGCAGAGGTGGCTGGAGGAGGAGTGGAAGCTAAGCTCTACATCTTTAATTAAGCAGGCACAGCAAGCAACTCCGGCCAGGCTTAAGAACTCTCCAAACAACCCCCCAGTGATGTCCGTCCTCCAGCATAGCCACACTTTCTAAGACTTCCCAAAACAGCACCACCAAATGGGGACAAAATGCCAAATACTTGGAGCCTATGGGGGACATTCTCATTCAAACAGACCTCAAGTGGTGCTGTCCACAGATGCTGGCAGAACCAGTGAAGCGACAACTCCCAACTCCAAAATATCCACAAGTTCCATCTGCACTGGAGGGTAGGGTGCAAATGTCCCCTAGTTACAACCCAGCAGCCTCTATTTCTCTTGTCTCAGGCCTTTTAAATTCCTTACCAGTCAGGAAAAGGGGCAAGTTTGAGCCTGCCTCATTTCTTGGAGACACAAAGCTTTTTCTTTTTAAAATTGTTTTCTTATTGCTGGGCGTGGTGGTGCACGCCTTTAATCCCAGCACTCTGGAGCTGGAGGCAGAGGCAGGCGGATCTCTTGAGTTCGATGGCAGCCTGGTCTACAAAGTGAGTTCCAGGCCAGCTGGGGCTACCGGGAAACCCTGTCTCAAAAAGACCAAATAAATTTTTCTGTTTTTTAAAATATTTTATTTTGGGGGGCTGGAGAGAGAGCTCAGCGGTTAAGAGCACTGACTGCTTTTGCAGAGGACCTGGGTTCAATTCCTAGCACCTACATGGTGGCTACGAACTGTTCTTAACTCCAGTTCTAGGGGAATCTGAAGCCCTCTTAAGATGCCCGGCATTGCATGACACGGGTATACTCACATACATGCAGGCAATACACACATAAAATATTAAAAACATGCCTGCATGTAAGTAAGTGCACCCATGTCGTGCAATGCCCATGGAGGACAGAAGAGGCTGTTGGATCCCCTGGAACTGGGCAGTTGTTAGCTGCCATGTGGGTGCTGGGATTTGAACCCAGGTCTTCTGCAAGAACAGGCATGTTCTTAACCACTGAGCCATCTCTCTGGCCCACAAAGCTTTTTCTTTTGGCAAAAAGTAATGTCACAGTTTCTCAGTTGATACCAACGTCCTGACTTTAGTCAGGTGAAGCTGATCCTAATTTCTGACCCTTGGAACCATAAGACAATATATTCACATTGTTTTCAGTTCTTTCCGGCTGCAACAGGGAACTGGTAAACTCATCTTTGGTCAGTGAAACCTTCTTCAAATTGGCAGTGTTCCTGGCTCATCTTGTACATTTTCTGTCCTATACCTGGAATCAACATTTTATTTTTCTAAGAAATTCTGCTTCCTTTTTTGGAAAATGGTATTTTAAGACCTTGAGAAGGTATTTGAGTGTTTTGCTAATTTGTTTGCTTTCTGGCTCTCATCTTTTGTTTCATATTTGTTTATACATACCAGGGATTGATCCTGGGGCCTTGCTGAGTTCTATCTCCAGCATTTAAATTTTTTTTTATGTACATGAGTGTTTTGCCTGCATGTATGTAAGTGCACCCATGTTGTGAAGTGCCACAAGAGGGCATCGGATACCCTGGAACTGGAGTTGCAGACATGTTAGCCACCATATGGCTTCTCCAGCACTTTTATTTTAAATGTTTTATTAATTTTATGTACATGAGTGTATTGCCTGCATGTATGTAAGTGCACCCATGTTGTGAAGTGCCACAAGAGGGCATCGGATACCCTGGAACTGGAGTTACGGAAGGCTGTTAGCTGCCATGTGGGTGCTAGGAACCAAATGCAGGTCCTCTGTAAGAGCAGCTAGTACTCTTAGCAGCTGAAGCATCTCTCCAGCCCCTTCTCCATAATTTTTAAGACGATTAAAGATTTTAGAGTTTTTCCAGAGTTGGAGAGATGGCTCAACAGTTAAGAGCACTTGCTGTACTTGTAGAGGACTGGGGTTCAGTCGCTGCTACTCACATGGTTCATAGTGGTCTGTAACTCCAGTTCCAGGGGCCTCTGGCACCCTTTTCTGGCCCTGAGGGTACCAGGAATTCAGTGCATATACATATATGTAGACAAACACATGATGTAAAATAAATCTTTTTTTTTTTTTTTTTTTTTTGGTGTCTTTTGAGACAGGGTCTTCCTGTAGTCCCAGTTGGCTTGAACTCACTATGTAGACCAGGCTGGCCTTGAACTCACAGAGATCCATCTTCTGCCTCCTGAATGCTGGGATTAAAGGCATACACCACCACACCTGACTAAATATATATGTATATTTGGAGCTGGAGAGATGGCTTAGTGGTTAAGAGCAATCACTGCCCTTGCAGAGGACCTGGGTTCAATTCCCAGCACTCACATGGAGGTTAACAACTGTCTGTAATTCCAGTTCCAGAGGGTCTGATAGTTTCTCCTAGGGCATTGCATGACACCAGTGCACTTACACACATGCAGGCAATACACTCATAAAATTTTAAAAAAATATTTTTTGATTATTTTATGTGTATGAGTGTTATGTCTACATGATAGGTGCACCCATGTGGTGTAATGCCATATCCCAGGGGCCTGGTTCCTCCAAGGGGTGGGGCCTGCTGCAGAGAATTGACTGAGGAGAGTTAGCCATGGAGGGAAGGGCTTCTGGATGCCACCTTGGACAGGAGCTGTGACTGGAGCCAGGTGTGAGAATGAGTGGCCTGGCATTTACTGACCTGGGGCGAGACTGCGGGTGGGTGAAAGCTAGCGATGACTATGGGCAGGCCTCGGGAGCGATCTGGAGTGGTGGGCTCAGCCTCTGTGCAGAGTTGGGCACTGGGTGTTTGTTTCTTTGTAAGTCACCGCCCCCGCAAGGGCATAAACCATAATAACTTTACATAAAAATATGTTATATGGTTTTTCTGATAGCCCTGAATTCAGGTGACAAATGCCCAAGGAGGACAGAAGAGGGTGTTGAATCCCCTGGAACTGGAGTTAACTGGTGGTTGTTAGCTGCCATGTGGGTGCTGGAATTCGAACCTGGGTATTCTGCAAGAACAGCTAGTGCTCTTAACTGCCGAGCCATCCCTCCAGTCCCTAAAATGAGTAAATCTTAAAAATTAAGTTGACAAATGGTGGCATATGCCTTTAATCCTAGCACTCAGGAGGCAGAGGCAGGTGAATCTCTTTGAGTTCAAGGCCAGCCTGGTCTACATAGTGAGTTCTGAGTCAGCTGGGACTACAGGGAAACCTTGTCTCAAAAAGACCAAAAAATAAAAAAAGTCCTGTGTATGTGTGTGTCTTTGTTGAAGGTTTGTGCACATGAGTGCAGTGCATGTGGAGGATAGAAGAGGACATTGGATCCTCTGGAGCATGAGTTATAGGAGGTTGTCAGCTGCCAGATACGGATGTTGGGAACTCAACTGGGTTTTCTGAGAAAGCAATAAAATGCTTGTAACTGTTGAGCCATCTCCCCATTGCCTACTCCCCTAAAATTTTTTTAAAAATAGAAAAGTGCAGTTCTGTGGTAAATCCCTTTATCAATATAGTGTATTCTTGTGCGTATAGTGAGGCAGGCAAGCACAGGGAATGGTTTAGTAACCTGGGACAATAACTTGGATGGGGCTATATACACCTCCCTCTTCTAACAATACACTTGGCAGCTGTATCAGTTGCTTTTCTGTTGCTGTGGTAAAGCACCATGATGAAGACAATGTACAGAAGGAAGAGTTTATTTGAATTGATGACTCTAGAATCAGAGTCCATCATGGTGGGGAGGCATCATGGCAGGCTTGGTGGCAGAAGCAGAAACCCCGGTGCTCACCTTTTCAACTGCAAACAAAAAACAGAGAGAACTGGAAATGGGGTGAGGCTGTAAACTCTCAGAATGTGCCCCAATGTGATGTACTCCAAGACCATACCTCCTAAAGTTCTCCAAACAGCATAGCCAGGTGGGCACCAAGTGTTCAAATACCTGAGCCTATGGGGGTATTTCTCATCCAAATCACCACATCCATTCACCTAGCTCCTTTACCATTTTCCTAATTTATCAGTCAAAATAGAGAATAACCTAAACTATACCCATTATAGAAGCCCCTCCTTCTTTTAGACCCCATAAAAAGAGATCCCAGGTAGTAACCTGGGACCCTGAGTATTCACTTCCATGACCCATTGCTCTCTTATGGTGTGTTCTGATATTTTCTATTGTTTTACTTTAAATAAAGTTTCCTTGCTACCTTTATAAATCTGCAGGCATTTATTTCAATGTTACTAGCAGCAAAGGTTTGTAGGCCACAATTCCAAGCCATTTTGGCTACTAACCCTAAATTAATATTTTAGAAAAGATTTCAAGTAGAGATGCATCTAAAGAAAGAGGCATTTTTCAAAATAGAGTTTTGAAATTCATGCCACAACAAAATAATGAATAGCATTTTATTATTGGGACTTAAACTATCACCTCAAAATGTTACTCAGTGGAAGAGTACTTAACCAGCATGCACAAGTCCCTGAGTACCATCCCCTCACAAGTCCAAACCCAACCTAATCTTACCCAACCAAACACCTTGTAAGTCAGTGCACTCTCAAGACTGACAAGGGCTGGCCCACAGCACAGAACTGCAGCTAACACCTCCTGTGTAGGGTGTCATCTAGCCTGTTCTATATTGTGGCTGAACATGTTTATTGTTGAGTAGAGATAGTTTGCAAGAGACCATTCAATGCAGATGGATAGACTCAGCTTTCTAGGCCAGGAGAGTGTTTTATGAAGAGCTTTTGGGAGAGAATAGCATGTAGAGGGAAGGGCAGGGCATCGGCTGAGACAACAGGAGGCCAGTGAGTTAACTTTCTTTTTAAAAAGGTCATTTGCTGGGCGTGGTGGCACATGCCTTTAATCCCGGCATTTGGGAGGCAGAGGTGTCGGGAGCCGTAGGCCCCTACCCCAGGAAATAGCAAGACCTGATTCCTGGCAAAGCTGTTTTTCAGACATCAAGGCTGGCCTGGTTTGAGATTAACCAGATGATTATACTTGAAAGCCTCTCACAAACATGTTGTTCTAACCCGGACACCTAACACTTGAGAGACTCCCTCATTTTCTCATGTAATTGCTAAGAAACTTTGGTATTACTCTGTAATCATACAAGTGTAACCTCTTAATTGATTTATAACTTGCTATATAGAATTGTGGTGTTACTATGGAATTTACTCTGTGATCAATTGGTGTGGTGTCATCTAGATATGTTTAGATACATGTTGATACATTGTTTATTAAGATGTTTACTTAGATGTTAAACAGAACTGGGCATGATGATGCACACCTTTAATCTCAACACCTGGAAGGCCAGAGGCAAGTGGATCTTAGTGAGTTCCAGGCCACCTTGGTCTACATAGTGAGTTCCAGGCCAGCTGGGGCTACAGGGTGACCCTGTCGACCCAGCACGTATCTTTTAAAAAAAAAAAAGTTCATTTTTATTTCATGTGTATGAGTGTTCTGTCTATACATATGTAAATGCACCATGTATGTGTAGTGCCCATGGAGGCCAGAAGAGAGTGTCAGATCCTCTGAAACTGGAGTTAGAGATGGTTGTTAACTGCCATGTGGGTGCTGGAAGTGGAACCCAGGTCCTCTGGAAGAGCAGCCAGTGCTCTTAACCACTGATCATCTCTGTAGCCTCCTTCCCCCTTTTATTTAAAAATATTTTATTTATTTATTTATTTATTTATTTATTTTTGTCTTTTTGAGACAGGGTCTCCCTGTAGCCCCAGCTGCCCTGGAACTCACTATGTAGACCATGCTGGTCTTGAACTCACAGAGATCCACCTGCCTCTGCCTCCTGAGTGCTGGGATTAAAGGCGTGTGCCACCACTCCTGGCCTATTATTTTATTTTATGTGTATGAGTGTATTGCTTGCATGTATGTAAGTGCACCTGTGTCATGTAATGCCCTTGGAGGTCAGAAGAAGGCGTTGGATCCCCTGGAACTGTAGTTAACAGAAGGATAGCTGCCATGTGAGTGCTGGGAATTGAACCCAGGTCCATTGCAACAGCAACCAGTCTTCTTAACCATGTTGCCTCCCCGCCTTTTTTAAAAAAAATATTCTATTATTTTTATTTTATGTGTATGAGTGTATTGCCTGCATGTAAGTGAGTGCACCTGTGTCATGCAATGCTGCGGGAGGTCCGAAGAGGGTTTCGGATTCCCCTGGAACTGGAGTTAAGGACGGTTCATAGCAGCCATGTGGGTGCTGGGAATTGAACCTGGGTCCTTTGCAAGAGGAGTCAGTGCTCTTAACTACTGAACCATCATCTCTCCAGCCCCTTTTAAAAGAGAAGGTCTCATGTAGCCCATCTGGCCTCACTCAAACTGACTAGATAATCAAGAATTAGTCTGAATTTATCCTCCTGCCTCCACCTCCAGAATGTTAAGATTATAGGTGTGTACCACATTTGATTTAATATGGTGTTGGAGTTCAAACCCAGGGCTTTGTGTATGCTGGGCAAGCACTGTACCAGCTGGGCCACATCTCTAACCCTGTAAATTTTTTTTTTCTTTTTATAGACTAGAAAGCAGGTATTTTGTCTTTTTTTTTTTTTTTTTCTTTTTTCTTTTTGAGGCAGGGTTTCCCTGTATTCCCAGCTGACCTGAACTCACAGAACTCTGCCTGCCCTTGCCTCCTGAGTGCTGGGATATAAGGTATGCACCACCATGCCAGGCTTTTGTTTGTTTTGAGTTAGGGTCTCACTATATAAACTAGCCTGGCCTTGAACTGGTGATGCTTCTTTTTCTCCCGTCCGAGTGCTGGGATTACAGTCTTGATCACTTGTTTTTAAAGCTCTGGTAACTTTCATTTGTATCAAGTGTTCTGAAACAGTGTATTCTAAATGATTTCCTCTCTCCTTGCAGGAAGCGCTCAGATATTAAACAAGTGTACACACTGCCACACATGCAAATAAAAAGAGGAAACAGTTGGTTAGGAACTTAGAAACCACGTGACCAATGACTAAGTTAAATCTTTCCATACACTGAGAGGAGTCTGATGATCTTCCTTGCGTGCTTAAAGTGTTGGAGATCATGTTACCATTTATTCTCTTTTCTACCCTGTTTTCTCCCATATTTACTGAATCTGAGGAGCAGCTGTGGGTCTGCAACTCCTCTGATACAACTATTTCATACACCTACTGTGGTAAGTGAAACGGCAACAAACAACTGGACTACTTTTAGGGAAACTTCACGGAACCGTCGCGGCTGAGGGCACACAGGAAATGCCTGCGTTCTGCTGCGGGTGGCTACTGCTGTTTGGGGAGGGCCGGGGAGAAGCAACGTCTGCCACTTCCCGGAGTGGATCTTCTCCACCCCTCACAAGCTCACAGATTTCTGAGCTGTTTGCTTTCACCCCCCGCGTGCTTCTGTTGCTCTCTGTGGTCAACTGTCTCTACTTGGAACCTTATTTTGGGTACTTTGCAGCTTTAGTAGAACTGTTTGCTTCTGAGTCCCAGCTCAGACACAAACGGGTTCTTCCTGAGAAGGCAGAACTGTACTAGTTGCCTCCTGAAGGGTCTTTTTGCTCCGGACTATGATCCTTGGAGGGCTAGTGGAATCATCCCCGCAATTGGATATAAGCCTGATCTGTCACTTACCTAAGCTGTGTGTCCTTGAGTTAAGGGCTTAGACTTTCTTTGCCTTGCCTTTTTTAGTTGCAAAATGAAAGTGATTTTAGAGCTCGTTTTACAAGGACTACTATCAGGAAAGGACTTTACCACAAGGCCACACAGACACAAAACAATATTGATTTTGGGTTTTCTGAATTTTTTTTTTTTTTTTTTTTTTTTGAGGCAGTCTCTGTAGTGCAGGCTGACTTGGAACTATATCGCTTAGGGTAGCCTCAAACTCACACTCCGTCCTTCCCCAGCCTCCCCAGTGCTGGAATTACAGATTTTTTTTTTCAGTTCAGCTAAACTCTGATGCTCTTAGCTGGTTCACAGTTACTGTTATTACCACCCCACAACTTCTCTTCAGCAGCTCTCAGGGCTCTGAAGGCATATCTCAGCCTATGGCTGTTTTCTGTTTGGTTTCTTATTGTGTTGCTCACCTGGTTAACCATTTTTCTGCCCTCTAACAATATCTGGATGGTTGGAAGTGATGCTTTTCAAAATTCTAGTTCTTTGACAACCTTTTGGGCAAAGCAGGATCTGTGGCCTAATCATCTGGGGGTGGGGTTTATAAGTATCCTTGGAGAAGTCCTGCAATACTAAGTTCTGTGATAAAGAAGTCTGCTTAACCTCAGCACTTTCATTTTGCTGACTTTGGAAGACTGTGTGTTGACTGTCCTGAGAAACTCTCTGACCAGATTTACTTCTGGGGAATTAGGAAGGTGCTTCAGGCCAGAAGCCTTCACTTTCTTCTTGTCTGCCCCCCTCCCCCACTTTTTAAAACATTTATTTATTTTTATTTTATGTGTATGTGTGTGCCTGAGTGTATGCATGTGCACCATGTGCAAGTGCCTGTGGAAGCCAGAAGAGGGTGTTGGATCTGCTGGAACTGGAGTTACAGGTGGTCTGAGCTGCCTGATATGCATGATGTGAACCAAACCTGGGTCCTGCAAGAACAGCAAGTGTTCTTAATGGATGAGCCATCTCTTCAGCCCTTTTTTTGGCTTTTCTGGTACCACTTGGTGACTCTTCATACCTCTCTTAGGAATCCTAGCTCCCTTTATCTTTTGGTGTGACTTTTGAACTAGAACTTGCTTCTTTGCTCTCTTTTATTAAAAAATATTTTATTTGTTGGGCGTGGTGGCGCACGCCTTTAATCCCAGCACTCAGAGGCAAAGGCAGGCAGATCTCTATGAGTTCAAGGCCAGCCTGGTGTACATAGTGAGTTCCAGGACAGCTGGGGCTACAGGGAGACCCTGTCTCAAAAAATTATTTATTATTTATTTCTTATTATTTGATGTGTATGAGTGTATTGCCTGCATGTATGTGAGTGCACCCCTGTTGTGCAATGCTGCGGAGGTCAGAAGGAGGTCAGAAGAGGGCTTCGGATTCCCCTGGAACTGGAGTTAAGGACAGTTTGTAGTCTCCATGTGGGTGCTGGGGATCGAACCCAGGTCCTCTGCAAGAGCAGTCAGTGCTCTTAACTGCTGAGCCATTTCTCCAGCCCCCTTCTTTGCTCTCTTACACTGAGAAACCCTGTGGTCCCTTCTTAGAACCCTGTGACACAGGGGCCTCACTGAGCAACGAGGGCTCTCTATGACATGAATCTGCTGGCTGCCAAACATACCAGTGCTATCCCATTCTTTCCCAGCCTAGGAGACTCCCCTGAGCCACAAAGGCCTCCCTTTGGAAAGCACTGATTCCTCTAGTGCTAGTGTAAGTGCTGATGACAGCAACCCCTGATTCAGCCCTGACTGTAAGGAGATGATTAAAAAAAGAAGAGAGAAATTCTCATCTGGGCAGTGGGCAGGCTAAATATGGTGTCTTGGATATTTTGGCGTGCCCTAACAAATTACTATAGATTGGATGGCTTAAACAATGAAAACATTTCTGAATGATCTGGAGATCAAATCAAGATATTGGCACATCTGGATTTCCCTTGGCTTGCTGGAGAGGTACTATGGTTTTTGAATGTGTGTTCGCTGTCAAACTCATGTTGAAATCTAATTGCCATTTTGTAATAGTATTAAGAGGTAGAACCTTTTTGTTGCTCTTGTTGTGGTTTGTCTTTTGAGGCAGAGTTTCACTGGAGCCCAGGCCGACTTGGAACTCACTCTGTAGCCCAGCAAGCCCAGGCTAGCCTAAGACTCACGGAGATCCTCCCAGCTCAGCCTCTGGAGTGCTGAGATTACAGGTGTGATTCACCACTCCCGGGTTTGGCTTCAGGATATTAAAAAAAATTTTTTTTTACTTAGGCTGGGTGTGGTAATTCCAGGGGCAGAGGCAGGTGGATCTCTGTGAGTTCAAGGCCAGCCTGGTCTACATAGTGAGTTCTAGGCCAGCTGGGGCTACAGGGAGACCTTGTCTCAAAAAGACAAAAAAAAAAAAAGACCAAAAAATATTTACTTATATTTTATGTGCATGAGTGCATGGAAGTGTACCGTGTGTATGCAGTGCCTGCAGAGGTCAGAAGAGAGCATTGGATCCCTTGGAACTGGAATTATAGACAGTTATAAGCTACCATGTAGGTACTGGAAAAGGAACCTGGGTCCTCTGGAAGAACAGGAAATGATCTTAGCTGCTGAGCCATCTCTTTAGCCCTGGCTTCAAACTCTATCCTTCAGCCTCAGATTTCCCAGTGCTGGGAATACATGTGTGAGACACCACACCCAGTTTTGGCCTCAAACTCTATTTTTTAAAAAAATCAGCAGTTAAGAACACTGAATATTCTTGCAGAAGACCCAGGTTCAAATCCTAGCACCACATGGCAGCTAACAACTGTCGGTAACTCTGAGCCAGCCAAAAGAACCTGACTGATACACGTGAATTTCTTTTTATAAATTTATTTAGGGGACTGGAGAGATGGCTCAGCAGTTAAGGACACTGACTGCTCTTGCAGAGGACCTGGGGTCCATTCCCAGCACACACACATTGTGGCTAACAACTGTCCATAATTCAGTTCCAGAGATCTGATGCCCTCCTCTGAACTCCATGGGCATTGCATGACACAGGTAGACTTACACACATGCAGGCAATACACTCATAAAAATTAAATAAAAATAACAAAAAAAATAATGATTAAAAAACAATAATTAGTAGATGTGAAAAACATTACCATTGAAATCTACCTGATGACTTTATATCCATGCTCAGATGCCTAGAAGCTCAGAAAGTAACCAACAGTCACTAGTAATAATCAGATAGAGATTAGAAACACATGTGCAAACATCTTAATGTCAATTGCATTAAAAATGAATTTTCTGTATGAAACTGTATTTTAATAATGAAATGGAGGTCTTTTTTAAAGGTTAAAACCTCATTTAATTTTATGTCTTATTGGGTTTATACTGAGTACAATGTTGTGTAACTATTAATTCAACTGTAATCCTAAAACTTTACAGCCAATTTTGAAAGAGATGCATCTTAGCTCTGGAAAT